GATATATCGATGTAAGAGAATAAATAAAGTGAGAGGAAATAGAGAGAAGGAAAGGAGAAAGAAAGTAAGGAAGGAGGGAAGAGAGGAGACATCTGGAGGAGAGGAAGGAGACAGATGAAGGAGAGGAAGGAGACAGATGAGGGAGAGGAAGGAGACAGCTTGAGGTGAAGAAGGAGACAGATGAAGGAGAGGAAGGAGACAGCTGGAGGTGAGGAAAGGAAATTATGTAGAGAAAAGAAAGAGAACAGAAGAAATGGAGAAGGAGTTGACATAAGGGGAGGAGGAAAGGAGACAGGAGGCGAACAGATTAGCAGCTTCTTAAATATTGTATATATTTGAACTTGTCTTTGGCTCTCATACAGAGCGGACCAATCACATCTAGTGATTTCCTCTGAGACACCCTGAGACAACACGTCTACCAAGAGGAGAGAGGAGGATTACAATACACCTCCATATACAGGGTTATTACTTATTAACTTATTACTACTGTATGTGTACTATTACTGCAGTATGTGTACTTTTACTGCATTACTTGTCCTATTATCTGACTTATTACTGCTATATCTGTCTTATTACTACAGTATGTGTCCTATTACTGCTATATCTGTCTTATTACTACAGTATGTGTCCTATTACTACAGTATGTGTCCTATTACTGCAGTATGTGTCTTATTATGTGTCCTATTACTACAGTATGTGTCCTATTACTACAGTATGTGTCTTATTATGTGTCCTATTACTACAGTATGTGTCCTATTACTGCAGTATGTGTCCTATTACTACAGTATGTGTCCTATTACTGCAGTATGTGTCCTATTACTACAGTATGTGTCCTATTACTGCATTATGTGTCCTATTACTACAGTATGTGTCCTATTACTACAGTATGTGTCCTATTACTGCAGTATGTGTCCTATTACTACAGTATGTGTTCTATTATCTAAATTATTACTACAGTATGTGTCCTATTACTGCAGTATGTGTCCTATTACTACAGTATGTGTCCTATTACTGCATTATGTGTCCTATTACTGCAGTATGTGTCCTATTACTGCAGTATGTGTCCTATTACTGCAGTATGTGTCCTATTACTACAGTATGTGTCCTATTACTACAGTATGTGTCCTATTACTGCAGTATGTGTCCTATTACTGCAGTATGTGTCCTATTACTATAGTATGTGTCCTATTACTGCAGTATGTGTCCTATTACTACAGTATGTGTCCTATTACTACAGTATGTGTCCTATTACTACAGTATGTGTTCTATTACTACAGTATGTGTCCTATTACTACAGTATGTGTCCTATTACTACAGTATGTGTCCTATTACTACAGTATGTGTCCTATTACTACAGTATGTGTCCTATTACTGCAGTATGTGTCCTATTACTACAGTATGTGTCCTATTACTACAGTATGTGTCCTATTACTACAGTATGTGTCCTATTACTACAGTATGTGTCCTATTACTGCAGTATGTGTCCTATTACTACATTATGTGTCCTATTATCTAATGTATTACTGTAGTATGTGTACTATTACTACAATATGTGTACTTTTACTGCAGTATCTGTGCTATTATGTGTCTTATTACTGCGTCTTATTACCGCAATAGGTGTCCTTTTATGTGTCTTATTACTGCAGAATGTGTACTATTACTACAGTGTGTGTACTATTACTGCAGTATCTGTGCTAATGGGATTTCATGGGGAGATCTGGTCAATGTCACCTCTGAGGAGAGGAGCCAAGACAAGGGACAGGGACAGGGCGGGGGGATTACTCCAGAGAGACGAGGGGGAACAGCTGATGGAGACAGGAGTAGAGGGGGGGGGGGAGCTGCAGAGGAACTCTCACATTACTGACACTTGTGGTTTTTCTTTGGATTATTGAACTGAATATTCTTCATCTTAAAACTCGCCTTTTTGCACTGGCTTTGCACACTAGTTGAACATAACACTTTATATTAAGGTACACATGTTCACCACCAACTAGTTGTTAATTAACATGCATATTAGCAGTATATTGGCTCTTTATTAGTCATTATAAAACACTTATTGATGCCTTATTCTACATGACCGTATTCTACAAGTAATAAGCCTTTAGTTGAGAGTTTTTCCTCAATAACCCTCTAATTAGTGCTGATTCATTGCAAGTAAGGAAGTTGTTGTGCCTGAGTTCTGGTCTTAATATGCTCTGCTCAATAAGGGCCTAATAAGGCAGCAGCACCACAAGAATAGAAATTCTCCCATAATAACACTTAACAAATACGATCTATTCTGATGTAGCAAGACATGCAACTATAAGTGTTAATTGTGTCAAAATAACTTAAAGTGTGGTATTTTCCAACTCGGAATATGTTCACTAATAAGAGGCTCTAATATTCATGTTATTCATGTGTACCTTAATCTAAAGTGATACTGTAGATGTTTCTAGTTATTGTGCTTTTCATCTCATTTTTAATTATTGTTTTATTATTTTACTCCTATTGTGTTGTTCGATATTGTATGTGTTCCCTGGACAGCGCTTTGGTCAACTGAGGTTGTTTTAAATGTGCTATATGAATAAATAAAGATGAGATTGAGATTAGAGTCAAAGTAAAATGTAGACGTAGAGTCGTCTTAAAAGAAAAACGACAACAGGCGCCTCGTTGAGTGGAGGAGAGTGTTGGCGCTCTGCCGATCTCTCTCTCAGATATTTGCTGTCCTGCACCAGCTGGCAGACACGCAGCGGGTCAGGAATATTATCACGCTTTTTAAGATTCTCCTCTCTTGGTTTCTGAGCCTGGAAACTTCCCCGGAGCCGCTGTGGAGCTCCAGAAAGAGTCTCAACTTCCTCCTGTTTCCCTTCAACAACATGAAGCTGTTTCTCTGGACTGACCCTCAGCTGTCGCCACTCAACAGGTGTGTGTGTGTGTGTGTGTGTGTGTGTGTGTGTGTGTGTGTGTGTGTGTGTGTGTGTGTGTGTGTGTGTGTGTTGTGCACACGTGACCGCCTGTTGCTACACATAAAATATTCTGTCTGCAGACTTAAGTAGAACTCGTAGGCAACATTAGGGTAGGTGACAAACTGAGTGTGTGTGTGTGTGTGTGTGTGTGTGTGTGTGTGTGTGTGTGTGTGTGTGTGTGTGTGTGTGTGTGTGTGTGTGTGTGTGTGTGTGTGTGTGTGTGTGTGTGTGTGTGTGTGTGTGTGTGTGTGTGTGTGTGTGTGTGTGTGTGTGTGTGTGTGTGAGAGAAAGTGTACTTACGGACAGGACTCGGGCACGCTCCATTTGAATTCCCCATATCTCCTAACAGGGCACCTGAAAGTAAAACACACCACGAACATTAAATATATATTTGTTTATTATTCCACTAATATTTCATATTGATATAACTAAATAAGCTGAAGTGGAAAGGCAGACAAACACAGCTTATATAAACAATGACAGCTCTCCTCAGTTACAGTGTTTTTCGATGAGGGAGTACGTTTAAAAATGTATACAATAAATACTAAATAAAAGAAAATGTGTTAAAAAAAAATGATGAATACGGTAATAATAATAAAAAAGTAATGTACATGAGTTAAAATAATAATAAAGTACCAAAATATATATAAAAATGAATTATAATACAAATATATACACATAGAATTATAGACCAATATTTTAAAAATCAATTGAAGACCATGAAAATGTGTTTTATATTCTAGAAATACATATTATTGGTAAACTGCTTTCAGAATATATATAGATATTAAAATAAATATCAATAATATTAATTTCAAAATCAGTGATTAACTTACATGTGTGTAAAGTGTTGGTAAAATACTCCTAAACTTGGATATTTTTAACACTGATTATCTACAAACTGATTTAGTGATTTTTTTTACAAGGCTTTCGAAACAATAAGTTGTTATATACAATTTGTTTCGCGGATTTTAATTAGTAAATGTTTTTTGGGCACAATAGGCGCTTTCACACCGGAGTACTTTTCCCAGGAATAGTTCCGATAGTTCCTGGGATTTTGCGTTCACCCCAAAAAGATCTGGAACTAGAACTTAGTTTGCGCGAACCTTTTCACCTCCAGATAGTCCCTGCTAGAGAGGTGGTACTTTCCTGGGGAGGAAAAGGTTTGTCGGCCACACTAACCATTTCTGATTGGCTGGGCGAATTGCAAACCACGCCCCTTAAAACTCCGAAAAGTTTTGTGAAGCCGCCATTTATTTGCTCGCATTAGCATTATTAGCATTAGCATTATCCCAGCGCACCAACGGAGAGAGACTAACGTATGGCAACACAAAAAACATGTGAGCGGTGGAGTGATGAGGAGGTGTCAGCGCTTCTGGCGATTTACTCGGAAGACGCGACCCTGCAGCTTCTACTGAAGCCGGACTCCGGGAGTCTCCGGGAGACTCCGGGAGACTCCGGGAGACTCCGGGAGACTCCGGGAGACTCCGGGAGACTCCGGGAGACTCCGGGAGACTCCGGGAGACTCCGGGACTTTGGGCGGCAGTATACGCCGTGAAGTGGTTTGCGGCCTGCCAGTAAACCCAAAGCAGAAGAAGAAGAAGTGACGTCAGCGGCTTCATTTGCCTAACCCTCCCACAGGGACTTATTCCGGTGTGAACGCGATCTGCTCTTTAGTTCCAGGAACTTCGGGGGAACTAAGTACCGGGAACTAAGTACCGCAAAGTACTTGGTGTGAAAGCCTTATGAGTCATATGGAAAATGTGTGCATCACCACATCTTAATAGATTAGGTTTATTTTACAACACCATTATTTCATTGAATATAAAACAGTTATTCTGAACAGCACTGATACTAAATGCTGCAAATCCCATTTTGAAAAATATATAATTGAAACAAGTGTGTCATTTAAAAAGTGCTTCTGCTATCGACTCTCACTTCAGGGTGTGAAGGACGTTAATGGATAACAATTCTGCATCACAGTTAATTCATAAGTGGCGTGCTCAATGGTACTGGTGTCGAATTGCACAAGGAATGATTGCACTCATTCTAAATTGAGTATAAAAGGTTAATTAAGCACCAAACAGAACAGGAATGTGTGAAATGCAAGGTTTTATTGGCAGTAACGGTAAAATAACTGCCAATTATCACACTGTATGGCTTTGTTGAGAAGTTAACATCAAAATAAGTAGAATTATAATTACAGCTTTCAACTTTTTCTCTAATACGATTTTAATTGTTGTGTTGAAACTAAGGCCAGGTGTTGAAATATTCAGATTTAGTGGTGGTAAAATGTCTGATAGATTAATGGCAATAACATATCAGTGTTTGTTGTACAAATACGTAAACAGTACCTATTTTTTATGTCAAATATCAACTATTATACGAGGGGAATCGTGCAATTTAATTTATTATTTATTTATGTACATATTCCCTATCATGTCTTTTTAAGTCCCATTTATTGTTTTTATTGCTTTTATAGTGTCTTGTTGTTTTTATATTGTCTTGTTGTTGCGTGTTGGCACCTTGAGTTTATTGTAATGTCGTTGTACCTGTACAATGACAAATTAAAGATCTATCTATCTATTAAGTGATGATAGCGTCGTAGTTGCATTAACACTGCAAATTAGCAAATTAGCTAACCCGCTACATTTACAGTGACATTTATGAAAGCTGTATTTATCAATATTTATTATAATAACAGGGGATTCAATGACTGTAATGTGAAAGGGGTTAAACGCACTGGATTATCAATCAAGTGCTTCAGGTAGACTTGATATAGTATTGTATTGTCTTTCAGCACATTGTTTTGGTTTCCCTAAAACAACTGTTTGCACCATGTGGTGTTTACAGCTGTCCCCAAATAGCCAAACAATACATTTAAAAAAACAATTATTGCTACCATACCATGTCAAAGTAGAGTAATGTACTTTAACCTTTTACAGCAAACACACATTTCTACACAGCTCAATGTGTTTCAGTACTTTTTTCTTCATGTCCTTGCACCATTTCTATTCTATTTTTATTTGTATTACTTGCACTATTTTAGCTATTTTGTCTGCTTTATTATGTTTCTCTGTTGGAGGAGCCTGTCACCTAAGATTGTAATTGACATAACTACACTGTAGCTATGTCAATGAAAATAAAAGCCTTGAAATCTTGAAGTGGAGGTCATGAGGGTTAGCTGAGTGATATCTGGCTGGATGTGTAGAAAAGCTCCAATAAGCAAACACCATGAACCCTACTGTGGTTAGATGGTAAAAGTACACACTTCCTTTACTCAAGTAGAAGTACAGATACTCGTATTTAAAAATACTCTCGTGAAAGTAGAAGTACTGACTAAACTTTTTTACTCAAGTCAAAGTAAAGAGGCTTTGAAATGTACTTCAGTAAAAAGTACCCATAACTAGCAGCTGTTTTAAAGAGTACCTGACCTCCCTTTATATTAATAGAACAATAATGTCATTGTTAGCTAATGAATGTTTCCATGCTGAACAACGGCAACATGACAACGTTTCCATTGGTCCCTCTTCTTTAGAGAAGACCAGGAAATGATGGATACACGGATCGTGTTCCAATCAATGATCCAACGCAATGACTCTAAAGAATAATGATCACGCATCAAACACACATTCAGACTAAAGGAACCAGCTGTTTGGAAAATGAGAGAAGTAGAAAGTACAGGTATTTGAGTTCAACATGTAAGAAGTAGAAAGTACAGGTATTTGAGTTCAACATGAGAGAAGTAGAAAGTACAGGTATTTGAGTTCAACATGTAAGAAGTAGAAAGTACAGGTATTTGTTTTCAACATGTAAGAAGTAGAAAGTACAGGTATTTGAGTTCAACATGTAAGAAGTAGAAAGTACAGGTATTTGAGTTCAACATGTAAGAAGTAGAAAGTACAGGTATTTGAGTTCAACATGTGAGAAGTAGAAAGTACAGGTATTTGGGTTCAACATGTAAGAAGTAGAAAGTACAGGTATTTGAGTTCAACATGTGAGAAGTAGAAAGTACAGGTATTTGGGTTCAACATGTAAGAAGTAGAAAGTACAGGTATTTGAGTTCAATATGTAAGAAGTAGAAAGTACAGGTATTTGGGTTCAACATGTGAGAAGTCAAAGTAAAAAGTCGTCAGAAAAATAAGTAGTGGAGTAAAGTACTGATACCAGAACAATGTACTTAAGTACAGTAACAAAGTATTTGTACTCCACTACTTCTCACCTCTGCAGGACGCAGATGAGGAAGAGGAGGAAGAGGAAGAGGAGGGAGGGAGGGGCGTCCATTACGAGGAACCCTCCTGCCTCGGAGACAGCATGTTATGAAAGATGCTGTAATGCATTTGAGGCGCGTTACATCACCTAATTCTGACTCACAATGAGATTACGCCGGTCGGAACAAAGCCTGATAAGTAACCTCGTCTGAGACGCAGAAATGGGGCACAAATCCTTTTAGTCAGAGGGGGAGGGATCGCTGGGTAACACGGAGGCAGCTGTCGAGGAAATTATGGATTTCTGTGTTTATGAAGGTGGTGTGCACTTATCAGACTGACAGGTAATAGAGAGGGGAGACTGGACACACACACACACACACACACACACACACACACACACACACACACACACACACACACACACACACACACACACCATGTATACATCACTTCAGGTGACATTACATTGACTTACATGCATTTCCTAGAGACTTATCCTAACCTTGACCATAACTAACACATGCCTAACCCTAACCCTTACCCTAAACCTAATCCTAACCAAGTCCTAACCCTAAAATTAATGATTCCCCTCATGGGGACCTCCATTTTGTCCCCATAAGGGAGGCGAGTCCCCACACGTGACTGTGTAAACAGATTTAGGTCCCCACAAGGATAGTAATGCTAGGCCACACACACACACACACTCTCTTCTATGGGCATTTTGAGGCTTTTTGACTCAGAAAACTCTATAAAACACTCGTGTTGCAAACAGAGGGTGGGGAAATAGGTATTTAATGAAAGAGGGATTACAATATATAAACAGTAGTGCAGTGATGTCCCATTTCTGTGTTGGATCCTGAAGGCTACATCTCCCTGGTTCCCTCCACAAAAAAAGATTATGATTTTTGAAGTAAAAAGCTAATGTTGGGCTATAAAGGAACTACAGCATGGTCACATGACTTCACGTCTCCACCGCTAAGCTAAAGGCGGCTAACGTTAGGCTATAAAGGAACTACAGCACGGTCACATGACTTGACGTCACCACCGCTAAGCTAAAGGTTGCTAATGTTGGGCTATAAAGGAACTACAGCACGGTCACATGACTTCACGTCACCACCGCTAAGCTAAAGGCGGCTAATGTTGGGCTATAAAAGGAACTACAGCACGGTCACATGACTTCACGTCACCACCGCTAAGCTAAAGGCGGCTAATGTTGGGCTATAAAGGAACTACAGCACAGTCACATGACTTCACGTCTCCACCGCTAAGCTAAAGGAGGCTAATGTTGGGCTATAAAGGAACTACAGCACGGTCACATGACTTCACGTCACCACCGCTAAGCTAAAGGTGGCTAATGTTGGGCTATAAAGGAACTACAGCACGGTCACATGACTTCACGTCACCACCGCTAAGCTAAAGGCGGCTAATGTTGGGCTATAAAGAAACTACAGCACAGTCACATGACTTCACGTCTCCACCGCTAAGCTAAAGGTGGCTAATGTTGGGCAATAAAGGGGTCTAATGAGAAGCGTGATGACGTGACATATTGTGCCAATTTTCAGGTTCATATTAGTATTTATATTTTATATAGAAACTTGAGTGTTACAAAGGGATGTCACTAAGTTCTGGATGTAAACAAAGGAGTCCAATGGAGGCCTGGAAAAAGCAGAATATGGCCTCTTTAAGGTAACATAAATCTTAGTAATAGGGAAAGTATTATGGTAATCTCTTTTAAATATACCAGAGCTACCAACACTGCTTTCAAAGCAAGACTATGGTGTGAAGACGGGCTTGAAATGCTTTCCTTTAAACCATTAAAAGGAATCAGAGTTTATTCAGTGTTTGAAAAGTGTCTCCACTTTTTCTTCACTGCAACAACACCTGTCAATCAAACAGTGTGGGCGTCGCTCTGAAGTCTGTTTTCTTTTGTAGACGTTTTTTGTTAAAGAGTCTTCTTTCTCTCTTCTTCAATGTACGTCAAACTGCTGCTGCTGCTTTCAGAAAGTCATCGTCTTCTGAGGAGTTTTCTTCTTTAAAGAGAGAGCTACCAAATTGAACCTTCACTATTTTACGTGGTTGTATTTGCATTTACTTAATATTAAATAAATGTTTCTGATATTTAAAAATATATATATATATTTATATTGTTTATTATTGTTTGTTAGTTTTTATATTCTGTAATTTCTAGGGTGATATTTCTGCTTGTTATTATATCCTTTTTTTATTAGTTTTACTGTTGTTTTGTTTTATATGTTATTTTTGGTTTTCACACTTCTTTATTTTTTCAATTTTGCACTGAATGGATTATAAAGCCCACAAAATATTGGATCAATGGGCTTGAAACTGGACATTGTTTGTAAATATACATGTCTTGATAAAAAATGTTTCAAAATGCATAAAAGAATAAATAAAAATATGTAGTACCTGATGTACTTATATGATTCTGTTTTCTTCAAGGTTGTGTCTTCCTGGTCGAATGTACTTATTGTAAGTCGCTTTGGATAAAAGCGTCAGCTAAATGCAATGTAATGTTGTATTTTCTCTTTTTTTTGTTGTGGTACTGCAAATACCCTGAAATAATTGCATTATGCCACAAAATGATCGACGCCACAGGTGTCTCTTACCTGCGCTGGCTGGTCGCTGCGGTAACCCAGGCGACACAGTGTTCCTATGCAGAGTTGGTTGCTGTGGCGACAGGAGGCGGGGGTCTGTGAGGGCGGAGGTAAGGAAGGAGGTCGTGGTGACCAATGCGCCGCCAGGGTTGTTGCTGAACTGCAGTGCTGCGTTCTGATTGGACACGGGCACTGTGACGGGCATGGAGAAGGTGGGCTGCGGGACTGCTGACTGGAGGAGAGACAGGAAGGAGGCGGGGCTTAGAGTGATGTCACACACTTGTACATATATATAAACACACACATGCTTTTATCATGTACAGGTGATCAGTTAGTGATCAACACGCAGTCAACAATCACAACAAAAGTGTTTCCAAAACAGACCAGATTTACACGATTATATTCAGCTAAAGGACAAATAGATTTAAGACTTTTTAAAATCTGTGTTTTTAATTTTACTTTTACTTTTATGTATGCACCACGACATCAAGTCAAATTCCTCGTACGTGTCAACCTACCTGGTGATAAACCTGATTCTGATTCTGACACCAATTACTTAGAGGTTTTACAATGTAACACCTGAACCTGAAGGTCATTTAGAAAACTTCCAAGGGCAAAGACTTTTACATTTTAACATGAATTAAGGTCAATTTTTTTTATATAAGTAAATACAATTGTGTGTTAACTAATAAAGGGTTTTGGAAATTAACTCTTCAAGCAAACACACATCAAATATCTTCATCACACACACACACACACACACACACACACACACACACACACACACACACACACACCACACACACACACACACACACACACACACCACACACACACACACACACACACACACACACACACACACACACACACACACACACACACACACCACACACACACACTCAGTTTTATCATGCAAGGTGACTTTGTGGGCCAGAAAGCGGTGTCGCCTCTCATGCCGGGTTAAAGTCTTTAAAGTCGCAGCAGCGGGTTATTGCTTCAGCGTCGGGTTATTGTTGAAATCCCACCGACCCCCCCACTGCTCATCACCTTCAGGAATAAATTCCCTGATGTGTGTGAGATCTCCCTCCAAGATAAATACCTAAATATCTTCTGCTACCAACACCTAAAATATCCCAAGAGGAAACTACTTTTTCTTTTTGCGCCTGAAATAAAGTCTGTGGGTAAAACAAGCTGAAGAGATTTTTGTTCTACGACATTAAATACGTCATTAAATCCCCAACTGGTGAATTTAAAAATGGCGGTTGCTAACAAGTGTCTAAATGAGACGACTTAACGTCATCACGTCCAACGTTAGCCTCCTTTAGCTTAGCGGTGGTGACGTGAAGTCATGTGACCGTGCTGTAGTTCCTTTATAGCCCAACATTAGCCACCTTTAGCTTAGCGGTGGTGACGTGAAGTCATGTGACCGTGCTGTAGTTCCTTTATAGCCCAACATTAGCCACCTTTAGCTTAGCGGTGGTGACGTGAAGTCATGTGACCGTGCTGTAGTTCCTTTATAGCCAAACATTAGCTACCTTTAGCTTAGCGGTGGTGACGTGAAGTCATGTGACCGTGCTGTAGTTCCTTTATAGCCCAACATTAGCCGCCTTTAGCTTAGCGGTGGTGACGTGAAGTCATGTGACCGTGCTGTAGTTCTTTTATAGCCCAACATTAGCGACCTTTAGCTTAGCGGTGGTGACGTGAAGTCATGTGACCGTGCTGTAGTTCCTTTATAGCCCAACATTAGCCGCCTTTAGCTTAGCGGTGGTGACGTAAAGTCATGTGACCGTGCTGTAGTTCCTTTATAGCCTAACGTTAGCCTCCTTTAGCTTAGCGGTGGTGACGTGAAGTCATGTGACCGTGCTGTAGTTCCTTTATAGCCTAACGTTAGCCTCCTTTAGCTTAGCGGTGGTGACGTGAAGTCATGTGACCGTGCTGTAGTTCCTTTATAGCCTAACTTTAGCTTTTTACTTCAGAAATCATAAAGTGGTGTTAATATGTGGAGATTATCGTGCTGAACTAAACGTGTAAGAATCATAAACGTGTGTTTGACACAGAGATTATTTTGTGCTAGAAATCCAATAGGCTTTTTATCGAGGGAACCAGGGAGATGTTAACTTCCGTGTCTGCCTACAAAAACATGAAACATTTAGAATAACTGTGCAGCCATAGAACCAACATCCGGGGGTCCTGGACAAAATCAAGAGCGAGGATCTGGAGTCGTCCCGCCATCCGACCCATTTCACCCTGTTCTAACTGGATGTATGAAAGCAGGTCTTCTATATTTAGAATATGGGCCGCTGTACTCAAAGAGCCTGAGACCCAGTTTAACTGAGAGGAGGACGAGGGCACCTTCCTGCCCTTCATCTCTGCCTCTCGTCCTTCATCTGGGTTGTGTAACTTTTTTTAGAAAGAGGGAGAAGAGAAACGATGTGAAAAAATGAAAAGGGGGTTAAAAAATGTGTCTGATTAAAGCTGACGGAGAAGCTATCGGTCTTTAATTAAATAATTACAAATTAAAATAAATATTGTCTACGAAAAATTGTTATATAAAATAATTCCGAAAATGATTACAAATTATCTGGACATTTACTAAAAAGTTACAAAAATATGTTAAGATGTATAAAATTAAAAGCAACCCTAAGTGAATAGGGGCAACATTACGTTTCTCCTAGCAACCTGTAGCCAAATATAACATTTTCTTTTATTTAATCTCCATATCATTCAGAGGGAGTTTGTAAATGAGTGTACAGACGGAGCCGTACAGTAAGTAGGTGGGGGGGAGGCGCTCACAGCAGCACTGCACACTGGCCAAGCAGGAAGTGAGAGGGGGGGGGGGGGGTCATGGAGGTATGGATGAGGTGGTGAGGGGGGTGGAGGTGTGTAAACAAACGGCACTGGAGAAGATTAACGTTGGGGTAGAGGAACGAATTTCAGGAACGGGATGATGGCATATTTATGAAAAATGGGAGAATCGAACCAGCACCCTTTGTGTAGCAGCTCTGTTGTGATTGGTCAACTGCTTAGAGATGTCCCGCCCCTTAGCCTATCAGGACTTATACTCTGATTTAATTAAATACTTGATTACATTTGTTTGGAAGTATCACCCTCTGTCTGAAACCAGAGTCCAGTCTGCTCTGATTGGTTAGCTGTTGTGATTGGTCAACCGCTTAGAGATGTACAATGTGTTGGAGCCATGGATGTATAATAAGAACTGGATACAGCGTGGGAGGCGGGGCCTCATTCATTCCTATGAGAGTTGCTCAATAGCGCATGATGACAAAATGGCCCAACTTTTGAGAGAGCGAAACGTCACAGATTACCCGGCATGCCTGAGAAGTACCCGTATGTGCGCTCATAGCGCATGCGCAACTTTAACCACGCCGCCCAAAAGGCTCGTTCACATTAAGCACGTGAATTTGCGTACACGTAACAGCACCGCGCGTTCATGACAGCATGGTACTGGATTTATATTAACGAGGCGGCAGTTAGCAGCTAGCGGCTAGCTAGTAAATTATGCTAAATTACACATCAATCGTTATGTACTTTTATATTACGCTGACATCAGGATCTAGTGATATCCAAGCAACAGAGCTTCATTTAGCATGATACTTGTGTGGGTTGTACATGAAACCACTTGGTAATATATAAAAATGTATATGTTGAAGCCTGTTATGATCAATTGTGAGTTAAAACTTTATCTAAAAAGTAAAGCTGATGATGGATTACTATGGTGGAGTTAAAATAACAATAGCCTATTTCTTTTTTAAATGTGATGGAGTAAAAGGATAGTAACTGTGATTATTCATGTTAAGTAGCCCACAAGTAACTAAAACAATTGCAAGTGCAATAAGAAGCTACAGGAACGTTAATCTACGTCGGTAATATTAACTTTATTTAATACAACATTTACGGTACAAGATTTACATCATACAGCCCATGTAGTATAATATTTTACAAATGATGAATTACAGCAAACATGTGCAATATATCCATTATTACAGCTCCGTGGCAGTAAGGCGATATGGGTCCGTTGTTATTGTGCATCCATGGGTAAAGAGAAACTCATGTAGTACTGAACACGTAACATGAACGTGCCGGGCAGCGCGGTCCCGTGGGTTAGATGCGCGTTCATAATGCCGAGGGAAATAACTCTCAGAATAACGTTATTAGCACATTTTTACAACTTGAGGAACGAATGTTTTTAATAAGGGCTATACAAACGTTCATACTGGGTAGTTTATTTATTTAAAAAAAATTATCCAACGAATTACAGACCACTCTTTCCCCATGTAAGTCAATGGTAAACAGTGTTTCCGGGCCCAGCAACCTAAAGGAAGTGTAGTACCGCCGTTTGGCCACCACGAATATTCTCATCAGACTCCGGCGCACTTCCTGGGGGCTTGGTTGGAGCACTAGCCAATAGGAGCATGTTTGGAAAGTAAACAAAGGAGTCCAATGGAGGCGTTTTAGGCAGGTGTGTGCGAGAGTATAAATGAATGAAGTGTAATTGCAATGAACTCATGGATATTGTGGGGTTTACTTTATAATTTAATTTAATTTAAAATAATTTACATTTAACAATTACCCACATATTACACATGTTGGATTTTCTTGGGACCAATTCCAACATTTTTGGAAAACAAATGCCTGTTTATAGAAAAAAGGGTAATTATAAAATAAAAGTAATTATTAAAATGTGACAACTTTATAATTAAGGGCAACATAATTAACAATAACTGAATAATTGTCATACCTGTCAAATGTTGAAAAAAAAAAAAATACAAAAAAAAAAAATTACCTAAATAATCGTAGAGCGTTTGGAGGAATTTTTATTCATTATATTATAATTATTATTTTATAAATATGTTGAGTTTGCATCATCAGTCTCTCCTCAACCAACTTGTTTTTGTGATTTTAAAAATATATATTACATCTTTTTTTAACCTTGGATGGTTTCATGTTACATCCGATGATTTTTTAGTAGATTAGTGATTTATAAATAACTTTTTAAAGGCTCCTGAGGATTTAAAAAGAAGCTTGTTTTGGAGAAGACACTCAGTATTGTGCTAACCTTCTGTTATCTCCTTCAGACACCTCACTTTCTCTCATACATTCAGAAGTAAGTGCCATCATTTGTTTCTCGGCCTCTTCTCCACAGGACCTCCACAGCCTCTAGTTGCTAAGCGATTGATGACATAACCACCAAAAAAAACCCTCTCCACTTCT